TACTGGAATTGGAGAAAAAACCTTACCTTTGACGGCTTAAATAAACGAAAAAATTTCTACGCCCTTAGTGATACTGATCTCATTTAAATTGTAAATGCATAAATACTATGGAAAGTAAGTAAGTTTTCGAGACCATCAGTAAATCAGACATATATGATGCGCCCACCCTATTTCATTTAAGATGATAAGGGACTAGTAGTTGAATTTTTCCACAATTATATGAGTAGACCTTATATTTTTATTGAATTTCATATACCCTTGCTTCCCAAAAGCTAGTATCATCCACATTTACACGAATGCCCTTAGGCGACGGGGCAAATATGAATTTCAAGGTAGGCCCGGCATTTTCTTATAACACATTATGTGATGGGAATGCGATGAAGCAAAGTTATATTTGCTATAGCAATCGACTACATTACCTATTTTTCCTTTGTAAATAGGTTTTCGAGACTAGCATTAGATTAAATATATATGTGATGTGCTTGGATCATGATCAGATGTGAGCAAATAACTAATATGGAAAAGTCTATTTTGCATGATTGCCCGATTTTATTATTTCAATTTTATTTCGGTAGTCGTCTACAATTGTCAACATGGTAGGACTAGGATTATTATTTTGCCCTTATGTATTGCCTATTTTTTACTACTCATTGATTAGGAAAAATAAAAGGTTTTCTTATTTCAATTATTTCGAGATATATAGCTGGAGCCTGCAACAGGGTTGGATACGCTTTCGGGCTTGGCCTTGAACGTTTGGCAATGCAACTTTATCATATTCCCGACATTCGGCTGTTCTGGTCCACAGATCCTGGCTTTTTAAATCAGTTCCTCACAGATGATATTCATGCTCCCATTCGTTATAAGGTGAGAGTAACATGGTTATATCCTTTAGGTTACCTTGACTAATTTTTTCGCAACGTTCTTGGCATTATTAACAGTTTTGCTTTTCCGGCTTTTAGCTACCGGAGGCTTGAGTATCGTATAGGCAAACTATGGACGCTTAGGCTGAGACAAATGCGTTAGCTGCTTAGCCACGTGGCCCTATCCACATTGTTGTATTCGACAATTATACCACTTTCGAGTAGAAACTTTTGACTTGGCAGTTTACAAAAATGCAAGTGAAGTTGCAATGCATAATGCAGCATCCACTCCGATTGAATTCCAGTATCTAGAATGAATTCGCTTGAGGCGTTTATTTACCGCTGGCCACCATAACTACATTTACTGCTTTGAGAAAGCATGATGACTATGATCAACTTGCAGGCTACGCCATCCTTTTATTTCAACGCCTTTTCTTTGCTCCCTCTCACATTTTATATGTTAACACACATTTCTTCAAATGCACGTGCATACATACGCCAAGCCGGTTAGCATATTTCCCCCTTGTCCCTTAGATTTTTCATTCTGGCTTCCTGATTCGATTTCCGCGAACTCCGATCATCCGATTACCCTAGACGAATATAGAACTAAATCAGCACCCGGAACTGAGACGGAACCTCTTCCCTCCACAAAGTCAAATCAACGTTCTGACGCGGTGGTCTCATTGGAGCGTGAATTATTTGAGATTATTCGTGAGGTGGCTGGTAATATGGTAGAGCAGGTGTGTGAAAATTTACTTATCCCTGAATAATTGTTTCTGCACTTTTTCCTTTGATCTATGTTGTCATTACTAAAGGAATTTGAAATATTTTTTGTTACTATCCTCTCAGAATTCTCCATCCAATTGATGTAAAATTAGCATAGTCTATGCTCGAACTTTTTGGTATCAAGTTTTTTAATTCCCAGATCTGGATAATGAGTACAATTTTCAATGACCTACAATTCAGGCTTCAGTGATTTATTTCGACTGGATGGGTTACGTATAAGTGCTTATGGTCACCGATGTCGTCTCGATTAATTTTCTTTCCTAAATTTAAGGACCAAAATGGTGTGATCTTGAGT